AGAAGTGAATTTTCAGTTGAGCTGTGGAGCATGTGGCAAAGAATATTTCATATAGCGAAGGCAAAGGCAGCTGGAATCATAAATTAAAATCAAAAGGCGATGGGGATGGGCAGTAAAACTGCGAAAACTTTTGCTGAATGGCGCCTCTAAAAGGCAAAGTCAGGGAGCATTAAAAGGTTCCATTGGGCATATATACAATATGCACACAGAGCGAGAGAGAGAGAGAGAGGGAGAGAATGCGAGGTACTCGTGTACTCATGTGAAAAGTCAAACATACACACACACGCACGCAGCCATAGACAAATGGAGGTGGCCACAAAAGCAGCTGTAAAATAGTTTTTCATATCCGCTGGCAACTTGCATTGTGAGACGGCCTTGTCTGTAGTTCAATGTGTGTGTGTGTGTGTGTGTGTATGTTTGTCACCTGAACTGTCGTTGTTGTTGTTGTTGTTGTTGCTGGCAGGCTGTTATCCTGTGGCTCTGTCAGCCATATGATTGCGCATTCATAATATTTCCTAGCCCCCTTCCCCCCCTCCTTCTCTTTGCTTTGCGCATGCAGCTCGAATACAAAGCTCATTTTTCTCATTTGGCTTGCGGAAATTTGCACTGCATAGTGCAAATCAAAGCCGCTCTCTATGCCATTGACAACACACACACACACGCACACGTATACAGTGGCTTCACAAAGTATCTGTCACAAAATAAACTTTGATTTATTTATACACACTTTGCACTCTGCTTTTCGGCCCCGGGGCAAAGACTCGCAAGTCATGGTAAATATTTTGTTGCCGTTTTCCAGAGGCCAAGCAGCTGCCCTTAGAGTCGCTGTGCGCGTGTGTGTGTGAGTGTGTCTGTGTGTGAGTGTATTTGCATGTTTATATACTTCCTATTGCCTTGCTTCAACTTTTGCACTTGTGAGCTCACTCCGCCAGGTAGCGAACGCACAATTTCACAATTTGCAGACAATTTCCATTCCGTAGACAATTAGAAACTAGTTAATTAAATTGTTATAAAGAGCGTTGCCTATTCAGCATTTGCAGGTGTTTATTAAATCCAAAGCCATTTAGCAGTTTAGCCAAATATTTATTTTAAAACGAATTTATCAGGCATTTTAAGCAAATTTCACCAAGGGCCAGCAAATCGTTTCAATTGCCCAAGCAGAAAATTAAAATCAATGGCAAATTTCGAAAGAGCAAAAGCAATGCAAAAATTCTCATAGAAACAGAAAATGTTTTTAAGCCCTAAGCTCATTGAAACTGGATAAATAGACTTTGGTTGTTCAACTGTGTCAATTCGAATGTTTGAGTTGAGCACTTGATATAAATATTAATAAATAATAGTAAATAAATAATGTTTGACTGGCGTAAGAGGTTTAAAATTCCAATGGAAAAACAAAATGAATAACTGATAAAGATAAAGATAATATTCTACCCAAAGTTGGCAGCGATTAACTATGTATTTGCATAACAGTTAATTTGCAAACATTTTGTTGTTACATCACATGAAGGCAGAACTGTCTATGCTTAGCTATAAGCAGTTATAGTAATACTATAAATATTAAGATATTTTTTTTTATGCAAAGTTCACTCCTGTCTCTCTTAAATATTTAATACATTTGCAATTTATTTATCTGTCTATAGCATTCTAAATTTACTATAATTTTCTTTACTAAACCAGCTCGAATCATCGCTCGCTGCTTAAGCTGTGGCCTTTAAGTTTCTGGCTTTTCCGTGTACTTTGCTCAAACTTGATGCCCAAGCACACATTCAGTGCATAAATATTTATAGACGATTTTGCTTTCAATCTGTGCACATCAAAGATCAAATATTCAATGTTAGCACAAATAAATACAAACTCTCATTGTGAAGCCGACAACTCGCTCGAGTAGTCGAGTACTTACAGCTGTCAATTCACATGCACTCAGCCAAGCACTCAGTCGGAGACGAGAGTCGAGAGTGGAGAGTCGAGAGGCAACGCTCAGGTGAGCGAAGGTGGCTGGTGGAGGAGGGGCAGAGTCTTTCCTCAATAGTTTGGCTGTAAAAGCAACAATATCTTCTACTATTTTCAGCTATTTCTTTTTCTTCTCGTTTTTTTTTTCTTTTGGTGGGTTTGTCAGTTTGCTGATATATTTACCGTGACAGACAGCCGCTTGATGGCAGCGTAACACCAGCCCGGAGTGGGACAATGTCTGCTGGCAGCTGCTTGTCGCGTGTTGCAACAGCTTTAACGGGGATTTATGCAGATTACAATGGCAACAAGTTGGACAAACTTGCAGAATGTGTGCCGCATGTTGGCTGCCGCATGTTGGCATCCCTGCCCCACAGGAGCAACCATTTTTACATAAACAAATTGCCACGAAGCTGGGCAGCTTACTGCACGCTCTAAGTGGCAAACTGTGTAACGATTTCGGGGCGAATGCTTAAATAAAATGTATAAAAATATTTGATTTGATGGTGGTTAAGCTGGCAAAGACTCGAAGCTCTCAGTTGACCAGCGGACAACAATTCCTGCTCCAGCTCCTGCTCCTCCTGCTGGTGCTGTTCACATTTGATTGCTCTTCACTTGAACCGGATTGCCCTTTGAGCTGGCACTCAAAAGCTGCTTGCTATGTCAACTCAGCTAAACTTCCAACTGACTCTGACATGCCATGGAAGAGCAACAATTTTTGTTGTATTTAAATGCTTCAACAACAGCAGCTTCTGCTGTTGCTGCTGCTGTTGTTGCTGCTGTTGTTGTTGTTGTTGTATACTCATATGCATAGCAAACATATTTGAGGGGTTTTTGTGTGCTGCCATTTCACATAATCTTGGATAGTTGCGTGTGTGGCCCGGAATAGCTTTAGCCAGCAGCCGGAAAGTATACGTAAGAGTACGTGTAAAGTGGATGCGAGGGGGCGCCGCACTGCTTCTGGCACGATGAATATGAAGTTCTTAGGGGAGGGGCGAGAGCTGAGCACAGCATGTGGCACGACTGCAGCTGAATTTGTTTGCTTATTATGCTATAATTCGCATGTAGTACGTATGCGCCCCTGGATACACGTCTAACACCAACAGCGCATAAACAAACCCATTAATGCCATTCTACGCGCGGTTTTATGCCCCCTTGAGCAGCACGTTGCATCGAAATGGGGCACGTAGAAATACTTTCACGCTTATAATAAAGTGCGCTTTCAGTTGACTTTTGAATAATAAATGCCTGAACAATCGATGGGCGTACCACCACCCGCACCCGCAACCTTGACCTTGGCCAGGGAGAGAGAAAGACGCTATGACGAGAGTGTGGGCTCAAAATATGTTTGCTTATTTATTTTCGAGCATCATAGTAATATATTTTCCAAGGCCTAATGAGGGAGGGCTCTAAATATAAATAGAATTGGAATCGGAAGGAATTTTATTTAGATTGCACAGTCTATATAACCAAAATATAATGAACTATTTATATAATTTAATGAATTAAATATTTATTTTAATAAATTTTTTTAAACAGAAATTATGAACAGCTCACAATTAATGTATTGTAAATAAATGATATATTGTAAATAAATTATAAAGCCACAATTCCTTTTCTCACTGCCTCAATTGAACATTATAAATAACTCAAAATCAAAGAAATAAATAAATGAAAATGTGTTAAGCTCACTTCGCACATTTTTAAAATATTTTAATAGTTTTTTGAAGAATATGCATAAATTCTCAATAGAACTTTTCATATTTATCGAGCAGTAAAGCAATTTAAATAAAATATTACGTATACGTAGTAAAGTCAGCGGCAATAACAAACAGAAATAAATCTGCTTTTTGATTTTATATGCTCAATTGCAACATATTTATTAAAATAAAAAATTATTTTAAAAAAATTAAAAATATTTTGAATGAATACATGAAATATTTTGGTATTTCACAAATTTAAAATTGCAAATATACATTTTTTGTTGCAAAAATGGTATTAAATAAAAAAAAACTTTTTGCGTAAAGAATAGTTTGCATATTTTTATATGTTGATAAAATTTTTAAAAAATATTTTTATTAATTTCGATCAACTATCAATTTTCGTTAATATTTATTTATTTTTTTATTTACTTATTTATTTTTTGTTTAAATTCAATGAATGTTGTTGTTAATTTAGAATATAATAATAATAAAAATAATAATAATATATAGATAGTAAAGACTAAGTAAATAAAATATTATTAAAAAAAAAAAATAATAATAATAATAAAAAAAATAAATAAATAAAAAATATTGCTCATAATTTATGTAACTTAATTAATTTGAATTTTTTAAAGCTGCAAATAACGATTATGGATTTCTTTATGAATATAAAACTCGTAGTCTAATATTTTCCTTTATAAAAGAATGTTTGCTAGCCAACCTCTTCTTCGAAAACAAAACTTTGTAGTCAAGTGTTGACTTTTGAGCTAGCGTCTTCTTTACTCTCAAAACGCATCAATTTCGATTAGAGCACACGGCTAATGTGCTTCCCTTGTTATAGTTGGTGCGCATTGCTTGCATATGCAAATTTATGCGCTTGTTTACATTTTGTCAGGCAGGCAGCAGCACAATAAATTGCAGTTGCTAATGTTTCTGGTTGGGTTGGCTTGTCAATTGATCCATAAATGCCGCACAAACTGCAAGACGATTAAATGAAATTGTCTGCCGTGTGGCAGCCAAATGTAATAACAGCACAGCACAGAAGAGTGGAGCAGAGTGGAGGAGAGTGGAGCAGTAGAAGTAGGAGCAGTGGCATCTGCGAGGCGCCGGCAAAGTTTTGTGAGAAATCGAACAACGCCCACAATTCAATTGAATGCCAGCTCAGCTTACTTGGAGTCAACGATTCGTCGTCCTTGTGCCTTGATTGACTTGCAATGGTAAAGGGCAAATGGCAAATGGCAAATGGCAAATGGCAAATGGAAGGAGCGTAAGCATCTACAGATAAATACGAACAACAACTACACTGTTAATATGACATCTTACAGCATAGAGCTATTAAAGAGTAAAGCAGCCATCGTAGTTGGCATTGCAATATTTGCCTCATAGATTTCATTTTCCCCGTCCGCTTTCGGATTTCTCAGTCGATGCTTGACTATTGATAAGTGAAGAGCTGATTTGAGTGAGGCACAAATTATATTTGCAATAAATGTAAATTGAGTTGAAATCAAGTTTAAATTTCCCTTAGATTAACCTCGCTTGCAGCATGGCGCCACGCAAGGCTAAGCAACCGAAGGAGGAGGTGCAGGTGTCGCTCGGACCGCAGGTGCGCGATGGCGAGAATGTTTTTGGCATTGCTCACATCTATGCCAGCTTCAATGACACCTTCGTGCACGTAACGGACCTGTCCGGCCGCGAAACTATCGCACGTGTCACCGGCGGCATGAAGGTCAAGGCGGATCGTGACGAATCATCGCCATATGCGGCCATGCTGGCCGCCCAGGATGTGGCCGAGCGCTGCAAGGCTTTGGGCATCACGGCGCTGCACATCAAGCTGCGTGCCACAGGCGGCAACAAAACCAAGACACCCGGACCCGGCGCCCAGTCTGCGCTGCGCGCCCTGGCCCGCTCGTCAATGAAAATCGGCCGCATCGAGGATGTGACGCCCATTCCATCGGACTCCACTCGCCGCAAGGGCGGCCGTCGTGGTCGCCGTCTCTAATGTGTCTCCATATGAATGCCTGTGCATTCCGTTTGCCTCTTTTTTGTTGAAAACTGAATTAATGACTGCATATTAAATGCCATTTTCAATATCCCACGGCCTGCTGTGGTTGAGTTATGCAAGGGATGGAGAAAGGGGCAGGGAATGGAGTGGGTTGCCTTGCGGCTTTGTGGTTCTGATGAGCCTGGTTTATTCTTTAATTTTATTTGAGTTTAATTGGAATTCAAAATTAACCACGAGATTATTGAGCAAGCCTACTTGAAATTAATCGGAAATTATTTATTCTATTGTGTTGGTGCTGTTTAATGAAGTTAGAATGCTTGATTAAGACAACATTAGAGCATTTCAACTGGTCATCTCACACAATTTCTATCAATTTTAATTATTTTCTAACTTATTTATTTATTTAATTTTTTATTTATTTATTCATTTATTTATTTATTTTCTTATATATTTACTTTTTTTATTATTATTTATTTTTTATTTATTTATTAAATCATTTATTTATTTCCTTATTTATTTATTTATTTAATTTTTTATTATTCTTTTTTTTTATTTATTCATTTATTTATTGATTTCTTTATTTATTTTCCTATTTATATATATTTATTTAGTTTTTTATTATTTTTTTATTTTTATTTATTTATTCAATCATTTATTTATGGTTACGATTGTTTTATTATTAATTTCCCTATATATTTATTTATTTAGTTTTTTATTATTCCTTTTTATTTATTTATTCATTTATTTATTTATTTCTTTATTTTTTATTTATTTATTATATATATATTTATTTATTTATATATTTATTTAATTTTTTAATATTATTTTTATTTATTTATTTATTTATGTATTTATTTATTTAACCATCTATTCATTTATATTTTTCTTCTATTTTATAAAACTTTAACTACAAGAAACTTTACAATCTCTTAATGACTAATGCTTCAGCTATTTTTTTTTTTTTTAATTTAAATTTAAAATTTATTATAAATAAAATGACCTAAATAGATTTTAGCTTACAAAATCAAGTCTGCGATCATTCCAGCAGTTAAATATTTATGAAATGCCATAAATAACTAATGAGGAATTAGGGAATGTAATAATTTCTACACATAGATCCACCCATTCGTCCGGCAAAAATGCCTTAAAATTTATTTGCGGGGCGCGCTCAACTCTTGCATGCAGTTTACAAAGCATTCGCATTACTTTTTATGGCCTGTTTCAGCAAACGCGTACGAAAATAAATTCGCACATATTTTTTTCGGAGCGCTCTGCGGCTGCTCCCTGCGCACTCCCAGGCCGAGCATATTCTTTAGTACTTGCAGATAAATAAAATTGTGTAGCGACTGCGGGCTAAGGCAGTCGTGAAATATAACAATCCACTCGATATGCGTGTGTGTGCAAGTGTGTGTGGGTGTGTGTGTATTTATATTTTTGTAAGGCATTTTAATGCTTGCCATTCGACGCGGCGAGGGTTTTTCAGTAACGGAAACTGTCGGACCTGATGGTCCTGTACTTTTTGCATGTCGCTGGCGCTGTTCTCGCCGCGGCCGCCACCTGTCGCCGTGGGCGTGGCAACTGATATTTCAGGACAGCCAGCGTTATTGCCATGCCGTCACACTGGGCGTATGTGTAACACACACACACACACACACACATACAGAGAGAGTGTCTGGCTGTATGGGTTGTTTTTTTGCGCTGGTGTTGGCGCAGCTGCTGCCGCAAGTTTTTGCACAAAGTAAATTAAATTTGGTGCTGTGAGTTTAGCTTAAATGAAAACTTTCCGTTCTGCCAGCGCATCTCAAGTTCTGTCTGCCCTCTGCCCCGCCCAGTGCCAGCATCCCTCTGCTAGTCGACTTTTGCTTCGCACCAACGCCCCGCCCACCCTTGTGAGGCTGTCTTAGTTTAGTGGATCTTAATTAAAACGCGACTCGACGCAAAACAACTTGAGGCAATGTTTTTGAGCGTCCCCTTGATGCTTAATTAAAATACTTATACGACATGTTGTACGCCGCCATGAGATGTGTGTCAACAGCTGCTAATGCCACACCTGACGCATTCGTGCACCTGTATAGCACGATGTCAGCCAAGTGCTCTACCTCCCTCCCTCCCTCTCTCACTATCTGCTGCTGCTGTTTGTATTTGTCTGGCCGATTTCTTGACATGCCCCAGTCCCAGCTCCAGCCTCCCCCTCGTTTGTCGGCTCCGCAAAGTGCGCAATCCACGCTAATTTGCAATTCCCACAAAATGACACGAACATCCAGCCAGGCCAGTCGCCATCGCAATTGCCGTCAACGTCAGCAGTCAAAACGGCAGCAAACACTTGAATCTTTCCTTCCTGCCGTATTTCACTTACGGCTTTGTTTCTTTCACGTCGCTGGAGTACACGCGATTGGAGCCAGCTCTCTGTTGACACAGAAGGCGCACATTTGTATGAGCTGGGGCCTGCATCAAAATTACGAAACGTTGCCAAGTGAAATGAAATAAAACAAAATACATACATATAAAAGTGCAGGCGAACAGAGCTGAATTTGAGATAAACTTAAGGCGAGATATAGTCTTGGAAATACTTTGTTAAAGTGTTTCCAGATTTGACTAAGATTGTATAATAGGTATTTTAGATATATCTAGAGATCGTGTATATAAATCTTGTCTTTAGCATGTGAAAAGTCCCGAAGAACATAGCTCTATTTAAATTTGAGCTAAGCAAGACAGATAGAATTTATATACTTCCATAGAGTCCTAGAGATACTTTATGGAAGTATATAAATCCAATTTGACTTCCTTAGCTCAAGTTCTTAGAGATACTTAGTTCAAGAGTTTCATGAATTGTCTATTATAGGAAAATGGGTCGTTTTCTAGTTCGAACTATATATTGAGCTACCTATTCATGTAGATCTTGCCTGTATATGACTATCGCCTTGATCAATTAAAAGTCCAGGCGATCAAAGCTCAATTTGAGATAAGGCTAAGCAAGTCACATATAGAGAGATATAAGTCTTAGAGGTATTTTGCTTAAGAGTTTCGTCAATTGCCCATTATCAAAAATTTATGTCTTCACAGTTTTAACCACATCTAGATCTTAAGTAGATCTGTCCCTTATATGACTATTGAGAAACTCTTAATATTCTAACAGAGTAGAAGCTTTATTAATATATTATTCATGTGAGAATGTTTCACGAAGTGCTTCAGAGTGCCACGCACTCCCGAAGCTCGTGCATAACTTGTGAATGGACAGAAATTTTCCCGCTGCTGACATGGTTAAGGGTGTCAGCCCAGTTGACGGAACGAGAACGGGCTCGTTCCTGGCTCTATGTGGAAACATAAAAGTTAGTTTCATGAAAGTAAATCGACATCGATTTCCTAGCGCCAAGAGTACAATGTTTTGTGGATTATCCTAGTATCTACAGAGTTTGAGCATGAACTAGTCGTTGGACTGCAAATGGTTTCGTCCTCCTTCTTTGGCGATTTCACAGTTCCTAACTGATCCTTCGATCTGGACATATTGATCGGAGCGTTGCTGTTGGACTCCAATTGCATTATAGTGAGTGCGGAATTGAGGTGAGCTGGCAGAGTATCATCAGCCAGGCAGAGATTACTGCCATGATCGAAGGAGTCAACGCTCTCGAGGACGGGCAGGCCGCGATGCTGGATCAGCTTCATGGGCCTTTCCTTGTCGCACTTCTTGTACGGTTTCTCTTCAGCGGCCATCTTCATGATTTGGGCGGACTTCTCGAGCATCTCTCGGCGCTCGTGCTGCTGCTCGTCGAGGCACTTGTTGCGGTGCTCGTAGTTCTTGAACGCCAGCTCGGCCTTTGAGTAGTAGCCGGGCCAGCAATAGTCGCGTATTTTCTTGCGGGCCATCATCCGGGTATCGGGCAATTCGATTTGATTCTCGCGTCGATAGGTCTCCACTGCCCGGGCTATGGGCAGCAGGGGTCGACCCGACTTCTTTGCCGCCTTCATCGAGTCGAGCGCATCGCTGAAGAACTGCACGTCATCGGGCAGATAGGAATCGGCCTGGCAGGAGGAGAAACGCACTTGCTCCTGCTGACGCCGTGCCAGGAACTCGTCCTGCTGGCCGGACAGCATGCGTCGCAGCTTGACGCTATCCTCGCGTTTCTTGGCATTCTGGCACCACTGGAAGCGCTGATTTACCTGGCTATTCTTGAGTCGCTCGGCCACCTGGAAGCGACGAATCTCCGCCGCCTGCTTGCGGCGCAGCTCCTGCTGCTGCTGCTGCTCCAGCTCGTAGGCGCGGCGCTCCTTGACCAGCTCCTGCAGTCTGCACTCCCGACGTGCTTGCTCCACCAGCATATCCTCCTCAAAGCGCTCCACCACCTGCTGCTCCAGCTCCTCGGCCTGGCGCCTCTGCGCCTGCTGTTGGCGGCACAGCTGAATCGCGAGCTGCTCCTTCCTCTGGATCCGCTCGGCCATCTGCTGCTTGATGCCCTTGGCTGAGTCCGTGTTCAGATGACGCTTCTTCACGGTGTCCACACAAACTGTTCGATCGTCGATTTCCTCGCTGATGTTCCTGTCTGTGGTTGATGAGGTTTCACATTTAATTTGGATGTAATATTAATCGCTATCTCTATCTCTTTCTCTCTCTATCTCTCTCACTCTCAACTTACATTTTTCAGCCTCCGCCTTTTCCTTTATGCCATCTCGATAGGCACGCACACGGAACTCGCGAGCTTTCTGGGCGCGTTCCTTGGCCGCCTTCTTCTCCTGCTCGTGCAGGCACTGGTACTGCGCCCGCTCCACAATGGCATCGAAGGTCTCTTGCTCCTTCTCGTCCAGCTTGCGCAGTCGCCTCTCCTCAGCCTCCTTTGCTATCTCTTTGCCGTACTCGAGCGCCTTTGCCTTCCTCTTCAACTTCTCCTCCTCTACACCGAGCACGCTGTAGGGAATGCAGATCTCCGGGCACAGCTTCTTATCGTGCTCCTGCTGCTGCTTCGCCTCTTCGGCAATTCGACGATTGAGGGCCTCGTTGAAGTCACGCTGAAAGATCACTTCGCTCTGGAGGCGAGCACTGTTCAGTGCCATTTGGCCCGGCTTCATGTTCTCCAGTATGCGATTGGCCCTATAGATAC